CGGGAGCTGGAGCAGCAGGATTGCCCACGGGGTCTGGCTGCTCCTCAATGATGCTGAACTCATCCAGAGGGAGTGTGGTTATCTGAGTTTCATCATGGGGGGCTGGTGGAGCCGACTGGAGAAAGAGAAGGGACAGTGCAATGATGGTGGCAGGTCACCAATGCTCTCAGACATGCAGCTGTGTCTGCATTTCCCAGGGGTGCTCCCATCCAACTGGACTTACCGTTATTCCCTTATCCTGCTGCTCCTGGGATGGGGATGCTGGGAATAACCTCTCCAGCTCATTCATATCCAGCTGCTTTCCGTTCAAGTCCCGGTCATCCCTGTCCCTGCGAGTGGCCCCGTTCAGGACAAGGCCCGTGGCGCTCCGCTGGCTCCTGGGGATCTGTGGTGTTGTCAGCTGCTCCTGCACGTTTTTGCACATCAGCAGCCTGAAAAGTAAAAAGATGGAGCCTGAGGGTGAGCAAAGTCAGCGCCACCCTTCACTTCCTTCCCCCAAGCCTGAGTCTGCCTTATCCCTGTGCTATGCCCCTTCACTCCTTAAATCCCTTCTATAAAGTCACGTCTCTGCCATTAAAATGCTTCTGCTTTACAGGGAAGGTCAAAGCTTGGCAGAGCAGAAACAGTGACACTCCTGGGAAGCGTGAGATCCCTTGATGGGGACCAGAGCTGATGTGGTGTATATGGAGAAGCCCATTGGGTGTCTGTGTCTGGGAGGGAGGCAGAAGCAAGCAGCACCCAGCATTCACGGGAGCCAGGATGCGCATCCTAAAACTGAGCGTGGGAAACAGTCCATCATCACATCCGGGATGCGAGACCCTTGTGGGGATACCCACATGGCACTAAGGACCATCACCCCTCGTGAGCAGTGGCATGAGCAGCCCCTACCTTCCTCTGTACCCAAACATGAGGAAGAGGATGCAGAATATGATGCACGTGACACCGATGTGGATCCCAATGATGATGCCGGTTGTGGAGGTTTTATTGTTCTGCTCATCCTTCATGCAGTCACACGGGGGATTCAGCACTGCCAGAAGAAAGAGGGAGAGAGGGTCAGTGGTGCTATTCTCCTATTGCTCCTCCAGCTTTTGGAGAGCCCAGGTAAAAAGTTGAAGCCTGAGCAGTGCTGAGAGACATGTATGGGGAAGAGGAGAGCAGGAAGGGGATCTGGGGGGGCACCGCCTCCCAAAGCAGCTCCCTTGCTCCTGGCACCCCAAGAAGGCAGTCACAAGAAGCATAGGACTGGAAAGTCCATAGAGAGGCAGCCCATTACCCAGGCTGCTGTTATTAGATACCACTAATGAACAAAAAAGACTGATGTTAATTTTTGCAAACCTCTGTGTCTGAGGTGGGAGGCTGCCACCACACCAGAGCAGGCTGATACTGGTGGAAAGCACCAAGTAGACAGATCCCAACAAAATTAGTATTTACTCCAACACAGACAGAGGAGTAATAACTGTCTCTTGAAGATATTCCCACTGGAAGGCTTAAAAGGCTTCCAAGAGCAGCAGGATGTTTTTTACACATAGATGAATATGAAAGGTGTGATCAGTTAGAGATTCCCTCTGGAGATTTCCCCTTTTCTGGCACATAATGCACTGTTCATGCTCTGCAACCCTTCTCCTTTCCAAAGCCATGTGTCCTCTCTTTCTGGTGCCAGGGAAGGTTAAAATATCCAGGAGAGCTCCAAGAGAACAGAGATGCTCTGCGCACTACGTCTCACCCAAGGGTGGCAGCTCTTAGCTTATCCATGGAGGTTTATTCATGTTCACGGCCTCACCTCGAGCTTAGGGGCCAAAATTGGCAATTACAGGTTCATTTGGTCTCCTCACCCTTAGTAAAAAAGTCATAAGGTTGAACCAACTGTGATGGTGGAGACTACGGGGCAGAGAAGCCACCTCAACCAGCACCAGGTGGTCCCAGCCCTGCAGAGTTTTACTTCATCATTATTTGTGATGTTGAAAATAAAGAGTGGCCAAGATGTACCGTCTCACCTGTCCTCTCCACAGTTTCCCTCAAGGACACAAAGCGAACAGTTGAATTTCCATCCCCGTGCTGGTTATAGGCAAGGAGCTTGACTTCATACACCACTGAGGCATCTGTTCAAAAGAAATACAAGAAGAGCATTTCAGATGTAATCATTGGTGTTATCTCCCCATGTGATGTTTCTCTAGGAAACGACATCCTGTCAAATACCTACAGGGACCTACAAGAAATCTGGAGAGGGACTTTTTCCCAAGAGCATGTAGTGACATGACAAGAGGGAATGGCTTTAAAGTGACAGAGGGGAGATGGAGAGTTATTATTATGAGGGTGCTGAGGCACTGGCACGGGGTGCCCAGAGAAGCTGTGGCTGCCCCATCCCTGGCAGTGTTCAAGGCCATGGGACACAGGGGCCTGGAGCAGCCTGGTCTAGTGGAAGGTGTCCCTGCCCGTGGCAGGGGGTGGGAACTGGATAAGCGTTAAGGTCCCTTCCAACCCAAACCATTCTATGATTCTAAGGGGCTGCAAACTTCCCTGTTACTGGGAAAGCACCCCAAAACCCTGGGAGAGAGCTGCAGCAACTCTCATTTAGTGGCAGCACAACACATCCAAGCTCTGTCTGCTAATCCCGGGCTCGGAAGGGGACCTGGATCAAGCTGTCACTGTACTCACCCAGGTGGGTAATGTTGTATGCTGTTACATTGCTGGGCAGTAGCACTGGACCTGTGTACTGGGAGAGGTGGACCTTGCGGTAATACAGCTTGAAGCCTTCATGCTGGCCCAGCTTGATGGAGGGCTCCCACATCGCCTGGATGGCTGTGCTGTTAATGACTTTAATAAAGAGGGATGGCATGGCTGGGACTGAAACAGAGAGAGAAAGACAGTGGGTTGCATGTGCTTTTTCAGTCTGCATGGTGAGAAATTCCCCAGCAACCTTTCCCCGCGGTCAGTGCACCAAGGAATGTGCTACGTGAGACTGAGAAAAATCAGATCAGACCAGATCCTGGTTTAACAGCTTTGAACTTCTTCAGGGAGCTGTATGAGTTTCCAAGGGTTTCCTCTGCTCAGTTCAGCAAGCAGAGAGGCTACTTTTACACTCTGGTTGCAATCTGATGCTCAGCCCT